TTCTTCTTGCTTCTTTCTGCTGTGTATTTCTTTGTTGTATTTTTCATTTCCTTTATTGTATTTTTTAGCTCCAGATTTTTAATGTGATTTCTTTTTTTTTTTTGTGGTACCGGGGATTGAACTCAGGACCCTACGCTTGCCAGGAAAGTGCTTATTCTACTGAGCTATCTCTCCAGCTCCATTTAATGTGATTTCTTTCTTTTGGTTAAGCTTATCATTTTGTTTATTTTTTTGGTCACTTTGATGGCTGCTTTTGAATGCATTTTTTTGATATCAAGTAGATTTAAATTCTTGATTTGGCTCTGTAATCTTTTGGTGATGATTTCTTTATTTATTTTTGATTTTGTGTCTTGCCATATGCTGAATCCTGTGCAGTTTTTGGTTCAGTCTTCTCTTTTTGACTTTGTGTTGGTTTCCCTGTGAGAAAGAGGAAGGGTGCTCCAGGATCAGGTGGAAAAATATTGGCTCTGGTAAAGGCATAGCCAGTGTGTCCCTGTGTAGCTCTGTTAGCAGAGCTTTATGTGGTTGAGTTCTGCAGGTATCCTAAGCTTCAAGATCTGTATGTACTTTCAGCAGGGGGTCTTTGTTGGCAATAATAACTAAATGTTCTCATTTTTTTTTTTTTTTTTTTTGCTTTTCCATTAGGGAAATCAGGGTGAGAGGGTCCCTGACAGTGGGTCCACTCTCAGAGGCATGGTATGTGATAAATGATGCCTATCCATTGTCCATGAAGTCAGGTCTGAAGCATACCTGGCTGTGTGTTTGGGGTCCAGAGCATGACAGGTGTTGATAACTCATTTTTTAGTGGTAATTGTCTACATGGTTTTGCTTCTTGTGAAGATGCTGGGAAGTCAGGGACGAGACAGTGTTGTATGCAGAGTTACACTCTCTGTACAGGTTGAGTCCTTGCTTTTCATGGCCACTGAAGTGGTGGCTGAGAAGCAGGGCTGAATTTTCAGGAAGAAACCTTGGCTCCCAGACCTGATAGTCATAGCAGTGGCTTCAAGCATCTGGTGCAAGGGCAACCCTTGTATAGCCACAGTGACTGCTTCTAGATTGTGTACACTCACTAGGTTGTTTGGCTCAAGATAGGAGGACACTAGGATGTGGCAGAGGTAACATCTTTTTCCTGAGGTGACACAGCAGGGTCTCCAAAGGGGAGCATGCATGTAGTTGCCCCTTTTGGGGTTCCCAGCAGGAGTTGCTGTTGGCTACTTCAGTGGCAGAAAATATTGCCCTCAGTGTAGCAGGCCACTTGATTTGGGCAACTATCAAGTTAGTAATATCCCTTGGTTATTGTGGACTGATTTGGTCCACAATATCCCTAATGAGTGTAAAGCAGTGGCTAAATAAATGAGGCAAATGGAATGATTT